CATCAGTACCATCTTTCTGACTTACTTCACTTGGTATCACAGGCTCTAGTTTCACCCACCTCACTGTGTTAATTTCTTTCTTTTTTTTTTTAATTTCTTATTTTTGATCACTATACTCTGGTTAGGCAAGAGAAAGTCCTTGCTTTGAGAAAGAGATGCTACAGGGCATCACGCAAGTGATGCTCAAATGGTTCAGGAGGAAGAAAAACTAGAGAAAGAGAGGTGATGAGGCAAATGTGGGTACCATTTGGGGGTTCTGGGTGAGAAGGACTATTCCTCAACTGTTGTGAGTTTCAACTTTAAGCATAATAGGAAAAAATAACACGAAAACAAAGGCGTGCCCTACAATGTCTGACCCCTTTCTCCTTCTCCTGGCCTGAAACCAGGAGAAAGCTCTGGCCATCTGAGGACACTGGCCCCCAGCCTCCTCCCCCACCCCCTGCCTCACAGGTCTCCCCAGCCCTGGCAAGGCCCGCTGCCATCTGCTGCCTCCTGCTCAGCCTCCAAGCTGCTCCAAGTGGCTGGAGACAGTGTGCTTCTGCCCTGGTCTTAGCAGGATCCTGAGCTGTTTAGGGATTCTTATCCCAGCCAAGCCTCACAGGTCTTCTCGGCCTCCTTCTTGGCACATGGCCTCGCTCTTGGGCACTGCAGCAGACGGAGGAACAGTTCCAGCTTCTCTGCTCTCCACCGAAGCTCCTGTGTCTCTCCTCCACTCTCCCTGGTATCGTGAGCAAAAGGATGCATTCTTGTCTCCCATGGCCCAGCCGCACCTCCCATACCCATCTCCCGGTTCATGCTTTTCTTTGTTGGTTACTATTCCAGGTGGCACTAGCAGTAAAGAACCCATCTGCCAATGCAGGAGACATAAGAGACACGAGTTCGATCCCTGAGTCAGGAAAATCTTCTGAAGGAGGAAATGGCAGCCCACTCCAGTATTCTTGCCTGGAGAATCCCATGGATAGAGGAGCTTGATGGGCTACAGTCCACGGGGTCGCAAAGAGTCGGACATGACTGAGCGACTAACACACACAATCCCCTCTGTTACTGGAGTAGCTCTTGAACCCATAGACCTGCACTCACTAGCACTGTGACATATGGCTTCCATGCTCTCCCCGAAGGTGGCAGCATCAAAGACAGAATTTAGAATTGGAGACTTGAGCTGCAGCCTCTGCTCCACTCCTTAAGAGCTGTGTGATATTTCCAGGATAGGCAGAAGTGTTTGTCAGGTTCAGTGTGAACTGCGACACCTGACCCCTGGCCTCATTCTCTCCCCATCTTTTTCACTTGTCCCTGTTTTCTCCATTTGGCCCTCTGGGAGCTGATGTCAAATCCACACTGTCTGCTGGCGACTCCCAAACCAGCATCCCCACAGGTGCCCTTCGTCTTGACTCTGCTTCTCTGGGTCCCACGGCTGCTTGAACACTCCCCGCCCAGCACCCAGCTGGCAGCTCAGACCTCACATGCCAGTACTTAAGATTCACACTCACTCATGCTGGATTTGCCAAAAGGCAGTCCCAACAAGTGCTTAAGGCCACCAAGAGGTAATAAGCTTCCCAGAGAAGAATCTGGTATTCCAAAAATGCATCAAAGCAGCTCTTCCTGTTGGGTCCTGTGTATCATGAATTTCATAGGGAAGGAAAACCTAACATTTGCAGCATCTGAATCTCTAAAGTCTTAGATCAGTCCTCTTACCCTCTCAAACAACAGCCTCGACAGCAGTCACTCAGAGCACACACTCTAAAACCACCCTTCACTCCTCTCCCCTGTCCCCACATCCAGTTTTTAAATCTGGACCTTTCACATGTCCTCAAAGCCCCAGTGGCTCCTTCCGACTCAATCAGCTGCATCCAGTCCCCACTGGCTTGGGTCTGCAATGTGGTTGTTGCCTCCTGACTAAGCCCACCCGTGCTGTCCTCTGCCATGGTCACCTCCTCTCCGTCACACTCCTGTTCACACAGCTCCAGGGGCTCCCCCTCAACTCACGCCCAGTCTCCTGCCAACAAGTGAAGGCCTCCCCACTGGGCCCAGGTTTAACTGCCTCCAACGCTTTTGTTCACCACCCACTCCTCACAGACTTTGGGCTCCAGCCAAACTAGACTTTTTGCCATCTGGGAACACATGTTCCCTCTGCCCAAAATAACCTACATTCATCTCCACCTGTCGAGATCTGTCCTTGAAGGGTTATTTAATAAATAGTACTGGGACAATTGGTCATTTGAAGGAAATTTTTTAGATTCTTCACTTCATACTATCCACCAAAATGTATTCAAGATAAACTAGAGTTGAAGATGAAATAAAAATATATGATATAATCACACCTATTAAAATTGAACTTTTGTAAAAAACCTGGAAAATGTATGATTGTCAAATAGATAAAAAGGGAGAAGATGCTAAGCTTAAAAGCCAAGAATGAAATTTCAAAGGAAACAAAGCAGGAACTTCCCAGTTGGTCCAGTGGTTAAAACTTGCATTCCCAATGCAGAGGGCACAGGTTTCATCTCTGGTTGGGGAACTAAGGTCCCGCACAGCACAGACAGAAAAAAAAAGGAAATAAAGCAATGGGTCTAACTCATTAAATAGGACTTGACATAAAAACTGAACTGATAAGAAATGAATATATGGGTAGAGACTCCTTCACATGAACTGAGTGTTGCGGTCCCCTATGCAGAAAGTGGTTTGGTTAGCAAGAAATTAGAGAAGGAGCTTCATGGACATCTTTTATGAAGGTTAAGTGATAACATCAGATTTCTTCCCTAGGGATTTCACATGTCCAAATTCTCTCCAAGAGTGAAATGTTCAAGACCCCAAATTTGATGTTTTCCCCTGGACTCTTCTGTGTTTGGTTGAGAGGTTATTACTTTAATTTTGTTTGTTTGGGTCTTTTTATGAATCAGGAGGAAGGGTGATTAAACACTTGGGGAGGGGCTGCCCAGTAGTTAGGTCTCAGAACTTCCAGTATAAGGGACACAGCCTGGAGAACTAATATCACTCATGACACAGCCAAAAAAAAAAAAAAAAGGAAAAATTTGGGGAGTGCTTCTTCTGTGCCAGGTGAAGTACTTTATCTCAATTCTTATAGCAACTCCACAAAATAGTATTATTCCCATTTAACAAGTGATGCAACTAAGGCTTAGGTGTTAATTGACGTACCCAAAACCTCACAACTAATACGGGATTCAGACCCAGGCAGAATGACTCTTAGCACACACCTCCTCCCATCAAAAGATACACTTTTTACTTTTTACTTATTACGCTGGGCTGGAGAATTCTATGGACTTTACAGTCCATGGGGTTGCAAAGAGTAGGACAGGACTGAGCGGCTTTCACTTTCACTTTATTTGGCTGCTGCCGGTCTCAGTAGCAGCATTGAGATCTTTAGTTACCACAAGTGGTTGAAACATGTGGGATCTAGCCCCCTGCATTGGGAACATGGAATCTCAGCCACCAAACCACCAGGAAGTCCCATTTTTCACTTTTTAAATCCATTCTTGTTTCTCCACACAATGTAACACAGGGAACAAGTATTCTTCCAAGTTGACGTGTAAAATGGTTACCAGTCCCTGTACATACGTGTTTTATAAAAATTAACTCCTTTCCTAAACTCTCCATCCCCACTAGTACTACTTAGTTCAGGCCATCATTTTATCTTACGCTGCTGAGACGGTGGTGATGATGTTACCAAGCATGTTCCAGGCACTATAAACAGTATTCCACGAACCAAGAGTACGTATTTATTGAGCACTCACTATAACTCAGTTATTATACTAAATATCACTCACAGATTATTATACAGCAATCCTATTAGGTTAGTTTTGTTTTGAGTACCCCATCATCTTCCTTCTTTTAATTCCTCTTTCATAAATAATAACTGTACTCTGGTATAATCTCCCTAGAATAAACCGCACTTTTTTTTCCATTTATTTTTATTAGTTGGAGGCTAATTACTTTACATCATTGCAGTGGTTTTTGTCATACATTGAAATGAATTAGCCATGGATTTACATGTATTCCCCATCCCGGTCCCCCCTCCCACCTCCCTCTCCACCCGATCCCTCTGGGTCTTTCCAGTGCACCAGGCCCGAGCACTTGTCTCATGCATCCCATCTGGGCTGGTGATCTGTTTCACTATATATAATATACATGCTGTTCTCTCGAAACATCCCACCCTCACCTTCTCCCACAGAGTCCAAAAGTCTGTTCTGTACATCTGTGTCTCTTTTTCTGTTTTGCATATAGGGTTATCATTACCATCTTTCTAAATTCCATATATATGTGTTAGTATGCTGTAATGTTCTTTATCTTTCTGGCTTGCTTCGCTCTGTATAATGGGCTCCAGTTTCATCCGTCTCATTAGAACTGATTCAAATGAATTCTTTTTAATGGCTGAGTAATATTCCATGGTGTATATGTACCACAGCTTCCTTATCCATTCGTCTGCTGATGGGCATCTAGGTTGCTTCCATGTCCTGGCTATTATAAACAGTGCTGCGATGAACATTGGGGTGCACGTGTCTCTTTCAGATCTGTAAACCGCATTTATTTAAAGCGTAATTTGAATCAGTTTTCGGCTATCTGTAAAACCACCACCACAAACAAGATGCAGACTGTTTCCGTCGCCCGTAAGCTTCCAAAGCTCCTTCCCAGTTTACCCACCCGGGTGTCCAGGGTCCCCAAATCCTCGCGGTCCCGTGACGTCACTGCCCTGCGCCCCGCCGTCGCCTTGCGCGGCGCTTCCGGCAGCGAGGACGTGGGGGCGGGGCGGGGCGGCGTCACGGAGGCGCGCGCCGGAAGCTGGCCCGGCGGAAGTGGCGGGGCGGGGCGCGGGGGCGATGGGGGGGCGGCGGCGGTGGCTGCCGGCGATGAACAGCGGGAGCGCGTGAGCGGGCCGGCGGGCGAGGCTGGGGGGCCCGGGAGAGCGAGCCGCAGGGCGGAGGGCAGGGGCGCGAGCGCGGCGGGCGGCGGGCGGCGGCCTGGGCGCGGCGGCGGCGGCGGCCGAGAAGATGGCGGACGGCGACAGCGGCAGCGAGCGCGGCGGTGGCGGGCCCGGCGGCTTCCAGCCCGCGTCCCGCGGCGGCGGCGGCGAGCAGGAGACGCAGGAGCTGGCCTCGAAGCGGCTGGACATCCAGAACAAACGCTTCTACCTAGATGTGAAGCAGAACGCCAAGGGCCGTTTCCTCAAGATCGCCGAGGTGGGCGCGGGCGGCTCAAAGAGCCGCCTCACGCTGTCCATGGCGGTGGCCGCCGAGTTCCGCGACTACCTGGGCGACTTCATCGAGCATTACGCGCAGCTGGGCCCCAGCAGTCCGGAGCAAGTGGCGGCGGCGGCGGGCGCCGAGGAGGGCGGTGGGCCGCGGCGCGCGCTCAAGAGCGAGTTCCTGGTGCGCGAGAACCGCAAGTACTACCTGGACCTCAAGGAGAACCAGCGCGGCCGCTTCCTGCGCATCCGCCAGACGGTCAACCGCGGCGGCGGTGGCCCCGGGCCCGGCGGCCTACAAAGCGGCCAGACCATCGCGCTCCCCGCGCAGGGCCTCATAGAGTTCCGCGACGCGTTGGCCAAGCTCATCGACGACTACGGCGGCGAAGACGACGAGCTGGCTGGGGGCCAGGGCGGCGGCGCCGGAGGCCCTGGGGGCGGCCTGTACGGGGAGCTCCCGGAAGGCACTTCCATCACGGTGGACTCCAAGCGTTTCTTCTTCGACGTGGGCTGTAACAAGTACGGAGTGTTCCTGCGCGTAAGCGAGGTGAAGCCGTCCTACCGCAACGCCATCACGGTCCCTTTCAAGGCCTGGGGCAAGTTCGGGGGCGCGTTTTGCCGGTATGCGGATGAGATGAAAGAGATCCAGGAGCGGCAGAGGGATAAGCTTTATGAGCGACGCGGCGGGGACGAGTCTGAGGGAGAGGAGGTGGATGAGGATTGAAACGCGCTTCCTCCCCTTACGGACCTCCCCACCCCCCCCACCGTCTCCTTGGCTAGAGAGCTCCCTTTCCTGTTCATCCCCAGTGAGCTAGTGGAGGGGAAGCAAGGGAGGTCCCGGAGGAAGAAAGCAAAATTTTAAATAATACAGTTAATTAAGAGAAATAACTGTAAGAGAACAGTCAGGACAATTAGAGAAAAGCAGTAAAGTTCTAAGGAATTGACAGCAACCTGCAGAGAGAGGACAACAGCGTCTCCTCACCTGAGCAGAAGTCTCAGCTTCTCTTGCTTCCCAGCTACGGTTCCTAAATCCATCAGGATAACCCTGGATGGGATAGATCCTTGCACGCTAGCCAAGGAACACCTCATGAGTTACCCAGACCCGTTGATGACAGCTCTATTTGTGTTATATTTGGGTAACCTAGTCTAAAGATCTTTCTAGACCTCATTGTTGCAGTGTCTATCCCTTCACCTCCATTGCAATCAGCGTTTTGGATCTAGATCTTCATGGAATTCTTGTGAAGAGAGAGGCCTTTGCAGTTACCCAGTCCCGAGGGTACAAGTTTCATGAAAAGGAATGCAACTTTACGTAATCATAGACAGGGCAAAATAAGAATTCAAGAAGCCACCAGGGACAGAAACAAATTGGATCCATTTTAAAATGGTTTTGCATAGAACCTGGACCAAGGCCCATGTCTTGTCTTTGCAGAATTATTATCCGGGATGCAAATGGATTCAGATGTCAATCCTTGAACTAGAATCCCTTACTATAATGTTTTGGAAGTTGGCAGATTTTTTTCAAAGATAAAAGCAGTTTTACATTGGGGGTTGCTGAGGTAGGCACAAGAAGAAATCAGGCGTAAAGCACAAGGAAAACTGTTTGAGTGGATTGGTTGCTGCTCACTAAAGTTCTTCCCCGATCTCCAAATATGGAGGTCATGGCTTAGATATGAATGAGAGCCAGATACCCGTGGCTCCACCGTGTGAGCCAGTGAATTATGGCTAATTCGGCTGTTTCGGCCACTGGTTGGCTGGATTTTAAACCATAAAACTTGAACATCTCTACAAAAGGAACATTGTGGCTACAAGCCTGAGCTTTAATGGAATATAAGTCCACACAGAAAAGTTGGAAGTAACCAAAACTGAAGTCATCTACCTTCAGTTTAATCTGTGGGTTTGTTCAAATACTAAAGATCCTCAGGTCCAGAATTCCAGCATCATTTATTCTTTTAAAATAAATTTTTAAGAACTTGGTCCATTATATCAGTACCTCACAATCAAAGCTGGCAAATGATGGATGAGTGATTCAAGCAGCGTGCCCTTTGAAGCTGAAATCCATTTGAATGGAGCTGAAATGAACGTGAATATGCTGACTATATCCTGGAAGCATTTTTATACCATCTTGAAATTTCAACAAGCTGGCTTTTGCCAGTTTATCCAGCTGTCTTTCAAGAATAAAAGTTGGGGTTTTCAAGGATCGCCTCTTCTATATTTTAAATGGATTTTCAGTATGATTTTTTACTAATCAAGTTAACCCCACCCCATCAAAAGGTATTCCTAGAAGTGTCATAGACCTAGGTAACTTTGAATTGAGTGGGCGCTAATGGTCTTTCCAAAGTGTTCAGGTATACTTTGTGCGACACCTTCTCAACAAGGAGGCAAGTGACCCCACCTCCACAATCGTAGTGTTTTTTTTTAACTGCATGCCTGCCCTTTATTTGAGCTGCCTTTTAATTTATTGCATACCTTTTTATTATCTTATTTTGGTATTATTCAGTCTACAATCTTTTTGTATTTATTGGGAAATAACATAATATACAAAAAGGTCGTTTTCATGAATTGTGGCTGAGAGGGAGGGAATAATTGTGTATATAAATTAGGCTTTTTTAAAAAATTAGATTTGATTCAGAATACCGTTGATCTTAGATTTTTTTTGTTGTTTTTAAAAAGTGGAAGAGCCACAAACATTGGTGCCCTTTTCAGACTATTTCTCTACTCATCATCCACAGTAGACTTTTTAAACAGATTTTTTTTTTAAGCTTTTCTTTTTTAAAAAAAATTTTTCTCCGTTGCAAAGAATGTTTCCTAAATTGTATGGGAGCAATAGTATTTTTGATGTTTTAATGACATCTGTATACTTGTACTGTATTTTGTACTACAAGGCAGCTGTTTTCAATAATGTCCTGCTGTATTTACCTATGTGTTTTGAGTGTTTATTTCTTTGCTGCGGAGAACAAACCCCTAAATAGTTTTAGTAAAGGGGCTGAGAAGAAGCTAGCATTATTAGGTTTGCATAAATTGTTTATAAGTTTCAAACTCTGAGGCAGCAATGAAGATTAAAGTTGCAGCTCTTAGTTGATTGCTGTAACTTTTTCATTTTCAAAACATGTATAATTCCTGTATAGACCAACTTGTTTTCTTGCTTCAGTGGTGGTTCTGTTGCTCAGCTGCAGTGAGCCAGTTCAATTTTGCAAAGGTGCAGTACCTCTCCTTTTTAAGGGGTTGGTTTATTCTTTTTTCTTTTCTTTTTGTTTGGCTGAATTGCAGTAACTAGCCTTGCCTTTCTACTCTGTAGAAATGACAGGGTCTTCACAATCCTTCACCAGTGGCTACTAAGCTATAATTAGCTGAATAGAAAGAATGTGGAAGTGGTCTGAGGCATATAGAGTATATGCCAAGAACACTACCATATATGGCATCAGCTTTGGTTACCAGAGAAATTTTCTTAGTCATTAGACCATATAACAGTAATATATCATATGTAAATCTTTAGATATCAATTTGAGAATCCTCCAAAAAAAGGAGCAAAGAATGCATAAGCTATGTGTTGGAAAAAGTAATTTATATTAAAATTTTGACCTGCCTATGTAAGATTAAATGGTAAATGTCATAGTGGTGGGTTTTTAAGTCTTAACCAATCTCAAAGGTTTGTTTCTCCTGCAGGGGGTGGTTCATGGCCTCTCTTCTCACTGCAGGAAGATTACAGGAGGATGTGGATTAATTGTAGCATTCACTGATCCTCATACCGGTACTAGGGACAATAGAAATCTGCAAAGCACAGACTACACTTTCGGTGTGTGGTTTGTTAAAGTGATTTTAACAGGCTGGCTTTCAGAACTCATTCATAAATACTGCCTATTAAAGGAAATGATCTTTGTTAATTCCAGTCAGAAAATAGCATTATACAGACTATGGAAAAGCAATTTTGTGTTTTGTCTTTCAGCTGCTACTATGAGCAGTGATTTAGGACTGTTTTTCAACTTTGGCAAACAGCCCAGCTAATCATGTGTTCAAAGCAGTCATATTCCTGAGAAGTAGGAAACTAAAATTCTTCTTCAGGGAATTGGTAGAATGTCTGTTTCTCAAACTGCTGCAGACATGAGAAATTTTAAGAACAAAATCAAAGGGTCAAAAATTTGAGATGAGATACTACTCTTGCCTTCTGGTTTCTATTGTCCCTACCTTTCATTCAAGTAGAATGGCAGTTCTAGTCAGCAGAGAAAGTTTTCAGTGCATATGCTGCACAGTACACAGTGTAAATCTGTATGGCACCAAAAATGAAAGTGAAAACCAAACCAAAAACCCAGACACCCTATGTTACTATGGGAGGCATGCAGGTGGTATACATGACTGTAGCTGTGATACACACACGGCTACTTGTCAAGTCACTTTCCATAATTATTTACTGCAAAATGATTGAGGCTTTGGTGCAGGCAGGCTGTTAACTTACTGCTTTCCTGTTAACCTCTCAATCATTTTGCAATAAATTGCAGGTCTTTTAAGAGATTCAAGCTTCAGTTTTCTCAAAAACAAAACAATTATCCTGGCTTATCTGAAAATGCAGGGTTGTGGGCAAAAGAGGCTGGTTATAATAATGCCCTCATATTGAGTGGTCTGTAAATGGCTGCACACTTCAGGCACTATAGTTGCTGAGGATGCTTTGTTAAATGTGACCTTGACTGGCTTTACAGTGGGTAGAATGTGCTCTCCTCAAGGTATTAAAAGGTAACTATCCATTTGTGTCTACCTTGTTCTTGAGGTGGATAAACTTGAGAAGCTTGAGTGTGTAAGCCATGCACATAGGTATTCTTCACTGTAAATTTTGTTTTCATTTTTAACCCAGTTATGGTACTTTGTCCAATGCACAGCTGATCTCTCAGTAGATATTCATTTGAGAATAGTGTGGCCTTGATCTGTGAGAAGGGGAAGGAGAGAAGTGACTTTTTGCTTATGTAAAAATGACTCTTTGTCGAGAGGCATTCTATAGCACTCTTGGTATCTAATGTGGTCGGTCTCCTTGTTTATTGGGGAAAGTTAATGTTTTTGACCCTGGAGTTATTAATTCAATTGAGTTGTCTTCTATTTTTAGGAAGTATCAGAATTGCTCTGATAAGTAAAAAAGTAGACTGCTTTGATGTCCAATCTCAGGTTTTAGAATATATATAGTGGTGTAAAATTCCACTGCTAACTCTTAAAAAACAATTTTAATTTAGTATACCCTAAAAGTCACCTGCATAAGGCCTGTTCAAAGAGCAGCGCCTCCCATCTTTTTGCTCCTTTTCCATTTTGTACTTCACTTGAGAAAGTGTCGAGTGATTTTTTTTTCCTTGTATATTTCCATTTTAGCCCTGACATATTTCTCAAAGATAAAGCACTTTTTGATCATGAAATACATGGAATCTGTGTGTGATGTGGATCATGGTTTCTCAGGCTCCCCTAGATAATTTGCTTTTGAATATTGTTTTAATTCTGTATAAGAAAAGTAGAAATCTTTGCTAATGTTAGAAAGTTTGTATTACTAATCTAGAATGCATTTTGCTAGTTTCCAATGGACGGGAGAGTAAACAATGCTGCATTCACAATTTAATAAGTTACTTTCCCTTGAGCCTTAAGGTAACTTTATTTTTCTGTCAAAACGGCACTGAAGTTATAGTAAATGAATGAAATTGCCAGTTTTCAGGGTTGGTTTTAGAGTACTGTAAATCGATAAGCTGTCTTCCTAAA